AAAAAAAAAAAACAAAAAACACACCTTGGGGGCACTAATAAGAAAAACAAAAGGTAAAGAGAGAACAAGGCGTTCTCAAGTCCCCTCTCCTCCAACACTGCCATAGGAACTCAACAACCTCAGCCCAAAATAGCCTTTGGATGCTCAGCCAGGGGCATTCAAAACAACTGGATCCACACCTGTAATCCCAGCACTTTGGGAGGTTGAGGTGGGAGGATTGCTTGAGGTCAGGAGTTCAAGACCAGACTGGGCAACATAATGAGACCCCATCTCTACAAAAAATTTAAAAATTAGCTGTGTGTGGTGGTGCGCACCTGCAGTCCCAGCTACTCGGGAAGCTGAGGCAAAAGGCTCACTTGAGCCCTGGAGTTCCATCCAGGCTGCGGCGAGCGATGATTGTGCCACTGCACTCCAGCCTGGGCCACAGAGTGAGATCCAGTTTGAAAAACAGAGCAAAACAAAAACTGGATGGCAAACCACCAAACAGAAAACCAGAGTATTAGCAAAAGGACTAGTGCAGAGTTTTCTCCAGCACTAAATGCTCTGAAAAAACTAAGGAAACAGCTACAGATTTTAAGGGAAAATATTTTGACATGAATATAATACTGACTTAAGCTTTTCATATGTGAATGAGTGTCTATGTGTCAAGATGGAGATCGAAGTCAGGGAGAAATAAAGACCTTTTCTAGACTTTTACAGACTCAGATGCACACTACTTACTCATTTGAGGGAGCTATCTATCTATCTCCATATCTATTGACCTATCTACAAAATAATGAAAAGACAAAGTCACACGAATGGCTAACAGATGTGATCTTGTGTTCCAGCTCCATTCGATTGTCCAGGGCACAGTGCTAAAAAGGACTGTGACATTCTGTCCAATCTCAGATGTAAGACATCCCTGTTCCACAGGCAGACTCCCCTGTGCCCACAGAGGACAGAGTGTGGAAGTCAAGACACCTGCCTCTGGGGAGTGGGATGGGCGTTCACCTTGAACACTTCTGTATTGCAGTTTCCTGTGAGTACACACTGCCTTCGTGAAAATGATACATGTAATTACATTATTTAATGTGTGTATATATTTGTATGTTTATTTTAAATGTATATTTTCTATGTTTATATGCATTTAAAATATATGTTTATATTTCATTTATAACTTTTCTCAAAATGTATAAATAAAACAATCCAATTTTGGATATTTCATTAATGGTACTAATCAGGTAAGTGTACAAAGATGCATATAGACTGCTGTCCACCATGGAGTGTGTTTTAAATATGTACAATATTGTTATAATAAGCATATTCTAGTCAACAAAAAACCAAAATCACAAAATGGATCCAAGTCCAGAACTAAGACCAGCTCTCCCCAACTGTGTTAGCTAACACAGAAATAAGGAACATACTTCTATCAGAGTACTTATTCAGTTTGCTTATAGAGTGAGCATCATATTATCACTTTTATTATTAAACTTCATGCTTTATTTGGCTTTCATTAGTTTTTCCATTAGTATCTTTTTTTTTTACACATTTAGTTTTATTGTAACAAAGCAACTTGTACACTTTTAACGTTTAAAACTGAGCATCATCTTTCCTTTCCAGTGAAACAAAAAGAAAATTTAAAAATAAACAGGAACAAAATTACAATAGAGAATGTCAATTCCAAATAAGAGCCTACACGTTCTGCTGATTCTCCCATCGAGTGGCAGGGCTCAAGTCATCATTAGGAGAGAATTTATTTTAAAAGTGTCATCTTAAACTGCAAGGATGTCCATTAAACATCACAATTAAACATGCCAAAGGAGAAGCCATGTTGTCAAAATGCCCACTTAACCCACCCAAACATCTCAAACCCACCCTTTGCTGATCTTCTATAACCCCATTTTTTTAAGTTTTTTTTTCTTTTTTTAAACAAGAGAAAGTAGACAGATACACGTTGGTAAATGCTAACTGTCCATATTCACATAGAGACACAGTGTACTCTCTGAGCCCAATATACAGACAAAGGAGGAAAAAAGCTAGAATTCTATGCACTACTACACAGGGGCCTAGCACCCTCCAGCTTCCAGCAGAGCGAAGGGAGCAGGTTTTTCTTTTTTCCCACAGAGCTCGGTGGTATTGATCCATACGGTTTTTGCTGAGACAGGAAGGAATAAAAACGAACTTGGAACAGAAAGGGGTAGAGATTCTTTTCCCATTGTATTCTGCAAGGTATTTCCCCCCAAAATAAGTTGAGAATCATGGTGGAGAGAAAAGAGACCTCAAGAACAGGGCCACTGAGCACAAGAGGGGGGAAAAAAAAAAAAAAGACTGCAACTTGCTCCCAGGGACTGGAGAAAATTTTAAAAAAGGTTGGAATCCATCAGCGTTCTGTTAGTCATCTTCTCCTTCATCCTCCTCTCCTTCCTCCCCTTCATCATCATCTTCATCTTCTTCACCTTCATCCTCATCCCCTTCTTCATCAATATCTTCCAAACCTTCTTCTTCCTCCTCATCATCATCGTCTTCTTCTCCTTCTCCCTCTTCATCATCCATATCAGGAACCAAGTAGTACTGTAATGGATTTGGCCAAATATCATCTTTGATGACCTCTCCTAATGCATCTGCACCTGCATCAGAATGGTCAGTAAACCAGGTAAAGAAGCTTTCAGGTTCCTCATGCTGCCTCTTCCTGCTGCCTTTATTCTGCGTTTGACTGGAACGTTTCGTCAAGTCCTTTCCAGATTTCCATTTGATTTCAGCGGACTTTGAAGATGGATCACCCCTCTCATTCAGATGAAATTCTTGGGAGAGAACTTTATTTTCGAAGTAAGGATTTCCATCAAAATAAAGATCTGTTCTGTAACCTGATTTAATATCTTCAAATTCTGTCACTTCAACTCTGGTCAAATAATGCGGTGCCTCTTCGTCCTCCTCCCCAAGCAGCGCGGACGCTTGTGGATGGTTGACGAAGGTTGTCACCCAAAAATGTGGGATTTTGGCGATCAATTCTGACCTCTTCTGAAAAAAATGGTTGGCGGAGTTTGTTATATTTCTGTTCTACTTTCAAAATCTCCTCACTGGCTTGTTCATTAAGTCTGTCTGTTTCATTTTGTACTTCATCAGTATGTTCAACTGCTTCCTGCCGCTCTTTCTCCGAGGTCTCGTCGGCCCCGTCGTGGTTGGAGTTGAGCTCCTTTTGACTGACTTTGGCCGCCGGCGCCGACAGGGTGGTGCTCCGCGGTCGGGGGGAGAGGGGAGCGGGGAGAGGGAGAGAAGGGAAGGCGAAGTGGGCGGGCAGGCGGCTTCCCCTCACGCCACACGCGGGGGCGCTCGCTCGGTCCGGCCGCCTCCTCCCCGCGCTCGCTCGCTCGCTCTCCCTCCCCCTCGCTCGCTCGCGCGAGCCGTCCTCGCGGCCTGACGACGAGGGCGGGGCTGGGCGGCGTGGCGGGCCCGGCCGGGGCTCCTGCTCACGGAGGGGAGGCGGCGGCGGCGGCGGCGGCAGCCGACGGCTCGGCTCTCTGACTCGCCCTCCGCGCGCCAGCTCGCTGCTCGCTCTCCCCAGCCGCCTCCTCCTCCTCCACCTCCTCATTTTTTTTTTTTTTTTTGAGAGAGAGTCTCACTGTGTTGCCCGGGCTGGAGTGCAGTGGCATCAGCCTAGCTCACAGCAACCTCAAACTCCTGGGCTCAAGCAATCCTACTGCCTCAGCCTCCCGAGTAGCTGGGACTACAGGCATGTGCCACCATGCCCGGCTAATTTTTTCTTTTTCCTATGTATTTTTAGTTGTCCGATTAATTTCTTTCTATTTTTAGTAGAGACGGGGTCTCGCTCTTGCTCTCGCTCTTGCTAGGATTACAGGCGTGAGCCACGGCGCCCAGCCTAGTATCTTTTTCTGTTCCGGGATCCCACTTAGAACATCGTATTGCGTCTAGTTGTCTCTTCTCCTTAAGCCCCTCTGGGAGATCCCTGCATTTTAAACAGGGCTTAACCATTTGCCATTGGGCTGTAATTCCTGCCAAAGACCCTGGGCCACCCATCCCCGTGGCAGGTTGAGGACACTCACCCTGGATCCTGGGTTCCTGGGGCCTGCCTTGATCTGCTGTTGGGAGCAGCACTGATTTCTGTGTCTTCCTCTTCCTCCTCCTCACAGCGGCACAGGATGGTCTTTGCACCTGTGCCCTCGCAGGCAGTCACAGCTATCAGCTAGGGGGCCGTGCCTACAGAGCCCATGGCAGCTCGGTCCACCTGGCAGCTCTGCCCTTAGCACACGCCCAGGCCTGGAGCCTTCTCTGCCACTCCGGGGTGACTGACCTCTTGAATGAGTGGCCTCGGAGTGTCAACAGGCTCCACCTGACTTTCACAATCTGAGAGAACCGAAAGCCCAGTGGTTTCCCTCTTACGTGTTGGCCTCAAGTACAGAGAAAACATTCAGATCCTTTGGATGGGCAGGGGAATGTGCTGGAGAGGTCTGTGGCTTCCATCACGGTAGGGGGATATGTGGTATGCCCACTCCATGCCTCTATTTCCTAATATTATCAATAGTTAACCACGGAGCAGGGAGCCAAAGCTGCCCTTTTATTGCCTGTACTTTCTCATAGTGAAGATCATGGCATCACGTGAGTTCTTCACGAGGAGCTATAAAATAAGACCTTTGGAGGTGGGGGTTAGGGAGGCCGTGTGAGCACCAGTGACCCAGAGAGGAGGAAACAGGCCAGGTTGAGGTGCTCCCCCAACCAGGCCAGCCCTATTCAATTCTGACAGTCTGTGGACTTTTCCACTCACTGGCTCTTTGCATCTCATGCACCTGTTGCTGTTGGCTCAGCAAAGAGTTCCCATTTCACAAGTGAAGAAATAGAGGCTGAGTGAGGTTGCACGTCAAGTCGAAGTTCCTCTATGAGTTAAGCAGTGAGCAACAGTGTGGATGGCTGCGTGATGCAGAGGAAAAGAGACCAACAGGGAACCCAGGGGCTGCATGGAACTCCAGCTCCTCATCATTTTGTAATGCCTTCATTCATTCAATAAATATTACTTGAGCATCTACTGTGTGGATAAATGGTAAACAAGACAGCTGAGGACCCTAGTCCTGGAGCTCAAACTCCAGGGGAGATAGGCAACAAAAAAGCAAGCAAAAACATAGTTAATTGCAGCTAGTAATAATTTCTACAATTTAAACAACATAATGATATGGAAAGGGATAGGGTGGGGAAGCAATAACTACTATATTACTATACTAAAAACTGAATAATGAGGGGTTAAGCATGCAAAGATCTGGGACAGCAGGTGCAAAGACACCGAAGAAATAATGAGCTTCATGTTATGGGGAACCACAAAGGAGGCCAAGGTTGCTGAAGCATAGTGATGAGGGCAGGTGGCGTGGAATGAAGCCAGAAGGGAGACAGGAGCGGATCATGGAGTGCTTTGTAATACAGGGTGAGGAGTTTGTATTTTTCCCTAAAAGCGATGAGAAGCCACTGGAAGGTTTTAGGCAGGGAAGTAACAAGATCTGATTGACATTTGTCTAAGATCACTTGGCCTGCTGGGTGGAGGCGAGCAAGAGAGGAGCGGGGAGACCGTTGGGAGGCTGTTACGTGCATCCACACAAGATACACTAGTGGTTTGTACCAAGCTGTGGCAGTGGAGATGGGGAGAAGTGGCAAGTCCAGGGTGCATTTTGGAGAGGAAGGTAGCTGATAGATTTCAAGAGAAAGGAACCCAACACTAACTCTCTTATACACGAAGGAATTTATTGGAAGGGCAGGGTAGAGCTGACCTTCGGGATGGCTGGAACCAGGGGCTGGAAGATCCGAACTGCTTTCTGTCTCTGGCTTTCTCCCTGCTCCTCTCTGGGCATCAGGCTCATTGCCACAGCCTGGCCACCTGCAGGAAGCTGGACCAGGCTGGAGGAAACCCATGCTCACACTTTTACAGCGGGAGGAGGGGCAGGAGTTAATTTTCTTGCCCAGGTTTGTAAATTCCTGGAAAAGGATTCCAATTGTCCTGGCCTGGATCCTGTACCCATGTCTTGTATCGATTGTCATGGCTGGGGGTTGGGGGTGAAGTACCATGGATGGCCAGATCAAATCTCATGCCCACTGGGTAGAACCCAGAAGTTTTCTTTTGTCCCTTCTGGTCACTACCTCCCACAAAGGCAACCTGACTTTTAATACTATGGTTTTTGCTTATTTTTATACAATATATAAATAGAGTCAATCAATATATGATCTTTTGTGCTGGGCTTGTTTTGCTAACATTATATTTGTGAGATTCATCCATGTTGTGTGCAGTTGTGGTTCATTCATTCTTGTTGATGCACAGTAATTGATTGTGCGACTATGCCACAGTGTTTTTATTTGTAGATCATATTTTCTTAAGAAAATTCCAACCCCTCCACTTCCTCTTTCCTCTCTCTGGAACACAATATGATGGCGTTACCAAACCCAAAAGGGGTCCACTCTAGGTCCATCCTAGTTGCTCCCTACACTAAGCTAATTACTGGGGCAATGAGTATAGCCAGGGAAGAAAGAGTTTTATTGTAAATGATGTCAGTCAGGTGACAGAAGATATTTCTGAAATCCATCTCCCCGACTGACTAAGGGCAAGGGCTTTTAGAGTGGGTTGTAGAACGCAGGTCAGGTTGTGTGGGGTTTGAAGTCATGGGATCTACAGGTGGTCAGATTCAAGAGTGAGCTATAGGCCAGGTGTGGTGGCACATGCCTGTAATC